GTATTACAGAGGGTAAGGACAAGGATGACAAAGATTTATATATTCCATTCCCAGACGCACTGGTCATGGATCTGTTAACAATTTCAACTTCACTAAGAGCAGGAGAAAAAGATAAGTAACCAACTTTTTTACAAGTTATATAATCAGTAGCCCTTGAATTAAAGATCCAAGAGGTAGGAGAGGTGGAGTTGGAAATATGATTTGCAGTTGCATATGTACCTCACTGCTCCACCAATGACTTAGAGCTGAGTGAAGCCTTGAGAGCAACCAACTAGTGCTCTAAATCTTTGATGGCCTAAACTCTTGGGCCGGATTGATTGGATTTTGTCGCTCAGGTTCCCCCCCCCTCCCCCTCTCTCAATATAGTATGGCCACTTGCATTTCTTGGTTTCAGTATCAAGTGTAAATTCAAATCCCAACAATGCTCTCAAGTGTGTCTTATCTTCCCACAATGAAAGCATTTGAGTTTCTCCTTTTTAGCAGGAGATAGTGGAGCATGATTTGCTGCTTTCATACCATTTTTTGTTGTTTAAAACTTGTTGCAAAGGTTTATCATTCATGATATGACAATTTAGAGATAGATGATTGAGTTTTATCTACAACAACTTTTCTACTGGCCTCCTCACTTACATAATTATAGACACATTCAAGATATGACAATTTGTCCTTTTCTAGAGCTTGTACTCTCTGAAGTTCAAGTCAGGATGTAGGCCTGCTAAGGACACAAAGATCTTTCTTTGCTTGGCCAGTTTTTTAATGTAATTAGTTGTGGGATTAATATGTTGATAATGGTCTACTTCTTCCCACTTTTCCCTTAGTATCCCAAAGTACTCTTCCACAGGTATTTCTTCTAATTGCAAATGAGAAGTTTTGCAATGCAACAGGTAAATCCTAATCATAGCATTTCGTTGGGAGTATGTCGTAGCTACTTCCTCCCATATATGCTTTTGAAATCTTAAGAAACAATAGTCCCCTACTGATATTTGGCTTGTATAGAATGAAGAAGCCATGCCATTACTATCAATTCTAACTTTCTCATTCATTATAGGATGGATCATTTATGGGAGGCTCTTTCACTTTTCCTGTGATAGAACTCCTTTTTTTTCTGCTTCCTATGAACATTTTGGTAGATTGAGACTATTCTTAAGAGTTTGTCCAATCAACTTAATTGTAGTGATCATCAATCCTAGGTGATCAAATTGACTACTTCTCAAGGAAATATTGTGCTTGATTTCTGATATTTTCCTTCTCTCTCGAACTCGAAACCCTGCGGAATAGGTATGGAATATTTGTGTGGGATAAGTTAGAGAGTAGGTTTTTTTTTTTTGGCTAGAAATGGAAAGATATTAGGATAAAAGTTATTTGTGGCAAAAGAAAGTGAGGTACTCTTACTTGGAATAGGAGATTGTTGATATACCACAACTTCAAGCCCAAGAATGAAGAAAAGTCATGATTCTAAGATTGCTTTAAGTAATAGATATCCTAAGGTTTCAAGCCCTGCTCTGATACCATATTAAGACAGAGAGATAGAGAGCGATATTCAAACACGAGATAAAGTAAATACAAATATTTCACATACTAGAAATTGTAGGCAATATGTCCCATGTATATACATATTCTAATGGGAGTTATAGTCATGCTAATGGCGAACATGAATGGAAAAATCATAAATTTTTTTAATAATAATAATAATATTTTATGAATTATTATGTGTAGCCCATTAATTTGAAGGTGGTGGGGGTACCAATACTTTTTTCACATCCGTTTTTGAGATGGATGTGACTTGTATTAGGGGCACGTGTGGATGTGCATCCCATGACACATGCTACATTTTTCCTTCATTTTTTGACATTGTTTGCTCATGCTATTGGTTTATTCTTCTTCTTTTTTTTCTGTGCTTTATTTTAAGCATATTGCCTATTTGCTCCTTGAGTTAAAGAGGTACTTAAAAAGCTTGTTTTCAATTTAAAATCTTGAAATATGTGTTAGAATTACCATATGATTATTTTCAAGAAAAATAGAATAATAATTTTTACCAAAATTTGAAAAGTCGGTGATCTGGATTGGAATTGCTCGATCCGGATAAAAAATCATCAATGCCGGTCTAATTCCCATCACATATCGGGAACCGACCGGGTCCCCTCTGAACCGGCTGGGTTTCTGTCTAGTTCTGTCAAAAACCGATTGCTTCTGTCGTAAATGAGCCGGCCGATTCTATCCTGTTACAGTTTGATGGGGGGAATTTTCGTTTTTGCACTTTTAAAAAAAAAACAAAAAAAAACAAACTAAGTGCCTACCTTTCATATTATATTCCATATTTGTAAAGTGAGCCCCAAGAAATAATTGGCCCCAACATTTGCACACTCAGCATGCGTACCACTCAAGCAAAGCTACTAAAGGCGTGGGCCTGAAGACCGTTACAGAACATCATGCTCTTTATCCTGTCAGATGTGGGATAATTCTCCCACTTCTTACTTTATGAGATGAAAAGTCTTCAAAGAGCTCCAAGATTTTCGCTTTTTGTTACGTTACAAGATGAAAATTCTCTCTCTCTCTCCCTCCTTGGCATCCATCTCTCTCAATAAACAATCAATTCCAGTAAATTTCTCTCTCAATCTCTCTATTAATAGCCTATTTCACTAAACTTGTTCTATATAGCTTCTATTAAAAGTTCAAACTCTTAAATAAATATAAAAATAAATAAATAAATTGAATTAGAAATAATCATTTTATTGTCTTGAGTTACATTTAAAATTTCATTTTGACAATAAAATGAACTTAATAGAGAACAAACACTCAACACAAGACAAATTTACAATATTTACATACTTTTGATACAATAATGAACATACATAATGCAATTGTCATTATTTTTGTAGAAACCCAAAAACCTAGATTTTTGAGAAATTATAGTAATTTTTTTATTTTTTTATTTGGGCAAAACCCGCAGATTCACCCGATTCTCCTATCCACCAATCCGACACCGTTTTTGGGGTGGCCAATCTAAATCATTGATCCATTTTTTTTAAACCTTAATTTTTACACTTCAAAACGTTTAAAATTTGGACAATCCCCATTCAATATTTTAACATAACTTTCCAAAAAATACTTCTACTTCGGGATTCACACGTGGGCGCAGAAACTTGATAAAACATAGGCAGACATTATTTCATACATATTCATCTGTAGTTATAAGATGGCGTTTCAGATTTCAAAAAGAAAAGGACAAAAAAAAAATTGATATACTGACGGGAAAGGTTTCTACACTTCCCTTGCAGCATAGAAGATATATACTTCCCCCATCTAGCTATCTAATGTAGATCAAGTGAGCTACTGATTGTTTGATCTAGATCCAATGCCTTAGAGTATTTTATTTTTAATTTTTTTATATAAATTGTATAAAAAAAATTTGATACATACCATCTTCTCAATAGGGTGCACCTAAAAAAAATATTAAAAAGAATTTTTGGATAAAATATAATGACTAAAATACGTCTTAAAGCTTTTAGGGGTATTTTGGTTATTTTATTATATTGAAAATATTTTTGTTTATATTTTTTACAAGTGAAAGTTTAAGAGGAGTGGATGTCCAAAATATAGTGTCAAAATAATGTGTAGAAAAAAACTTAAAAATAAAATAGTATAAAGATGCGACATTGTGATTGGGGCCATCTCATCTATCTATTCAGAATCGACAATTGGATAGCGGGGGAATATATAGTTTTATGCAGTAGGGGAAGTAGAAAGCTTGCATTATACTTAAAGGGTGCGGTTTGTATAGAGTCTAGGCTCTAAACAATCAAATTAGGGCCTACCTTCCATTAGTGACGAGAAATGTGGTTTCAATACTTGAAGCCTGTGATAGCCTTAAAATTTATTTTCATCTTTATTTATAAAGTTTAAGGCCCAGTTTGGATGTCAAAGGAAAAAAAAATTCACATTGAAAAAAAATACAATTTGTTTCCTCCTCAATTGAGAAACATTATCGTTTTATTTATTATGTTGGTAGACTGTTTGGATATCTATTAAAATATGATAAGAAAATTTTATTTGCCAGATATGTTTGTTTGATGTGTTGCAATAAATTCTAAATTCTTTTTTTTTTTTTCTCATTACATAAAAATATTTGACCAACCTTGATTTTTAATTGTGTTCTTTCATGCGTTTGATAAACATATAATTTGGAAAAATATAAATGATTCCATGGGCATAGAGAGGAGAATGAACAATTATATTTTAAAAAATGAGAGTTTCACACTATTTCCATAACCCATGAACGATAACCCAAGTAATTAATATTATAATCCGAAGTATTGGAAATTTTGCCACAAAAGAGAGTAATGGAAAACATGATTATAACCAATTATATAGATATGCCATATTATACTCAACAGTGAGCACAATAGTCATCCTAAAGTGCTTTAGCAATACAATCTCGCAGTTCATCACCATCATTTTTATTAGCTTGAGGGTTTACATCGTTATGTTGAATATTTGTTCTTTCAACTGATCCACGTGCAAGATCCCTATTACACTTCTCATAGAGCCAATCATCACCACATGTTATAGTTCGGATATGAATATGTAAACTGCAAATTATCTAAACTTGTGTTTCATAAGGATATGTTGTTGCCACTTTTAAAAGAGAAAAACTTTTCTTCAACACACCAAATGCACGTTCATTAACATTTTGAAGAGATGAATGCTGAAGATTGAAGAGCTCCTTTACATTTTGTGGGACTAAATTTCCCCGACCATAAGCCTTCAAATGACACATCACACCCCTAAATGGAGCTATGAAGTTTCGTGTGTTCGCATAACCCGCATCGACAAGATAATATTTATCTGAATGCATATAAATGACAAAAGTTTTATATATATATATATATATATATATATATATATATATAACATTTATTAACAACATTGAAATGAAATTTAAATATTCCACCAAATATAAAAATTTTGAAGGGAAGTAAAATAACCGTGACCTCTAGGAATCTTGAAACCAGATTTTAGTGCAGCTTTAAAGCAGAAGAATCCGATGGTGATCCCTCCCACCCAGCAAGTACATATACAAAGCGAATGTCAAAAGAACAAGCTGCCATTACATTTTGTGATAAAAAGCCTTTCCTAGTCTAATATGGAGCTTGCTCTTCAATACCAATACTCAAATGAATATGGGTACCGTCTATTGCCCCAATGCAATTCTTCAAAAAGTAAAGCAAGAAAACTTCATTTAAAATTAATCATCAATTTCCCAAAATTATCGAAAGATACATAAATTTAAAATAAATACATTGAAAAAAGGATAATACATGTTTTTTTTGCAAATTTCTGGAGGTGTGCTACTTGAAGTTAGATGAACATAATCGAATGGTAATTTATATATTGCAGTGAGAACTCTCTCAAAATGGCGACTAACAGTTTTACCTAAGTATTGGAACCGGTCTTGGACTGTGCAATTGTTTGAGCTCTTCCCCATGATGTATAAGAACATTGCCAACTGTTCTTCAACCTTTACACCTCGAGTATCATTCAGAAGATGTCTACTTTGAAGAATCTCACAAAAGTTTTGAAATACATTTAACTCCATACGACAAACTTGAAGGCATCGTTCCCTATAACCTTTAAGTATTTCTTCCATGTATGCATACCATAGGCATATTATCTGAAGAGCTCAAATCATTCTCATTTACATTATAATGTGGGTCTGATTGTGGACTTTGCTGAATTTTCATATTCACTTATGTCATCTTCTAATGACTCTTGACAAACAGTCAATAATTGCCGTTTCCATGTGGCATGTTTACCTATAGGCATAAAATGTCATATTCTAATAAGAATTGTAGTGTAAAATAAATATTATTAATACAATAGAAAGACTTACCTTTTACTAGTATGGTAAGTTGATCATAACGGAGAAAGCTCGCCTTTCTAAATGGTTTTGCAGGATGGGCCTATTTGTTTAGATATGTGAGTTTTCCAAACATCTTGCATAGATAAATTCCTACAACAACCAAAGAAAAATAAAGAACTGAATAATCAACACTGAAAACTTACTTGCAGATATCAATCTCACACACCATTCGAAGCAGTTACAACATGGGCATGGTCATCCCAACCGAAACCACTTTGGTTAATAAGATTCTTCGCAATAAAATATTGCTTCTTAAGTGTAGCCCAACGAGTTTTTAATTATTGTACGGTATTTTGAACATCAATTTTTTTATTAAATGCATCCAAGACAGACCTCCAATCCTCTTTTTTCCATCCAATATCAGACTGCTTTCCAGCAAAATATAATTTTTTCAATTGTTCAACTACGAATTCATCGCGAGTTGCACTCCAATTTGCCTTGCTTGGATCTTGAGAGGTTGGGGGTTGCTCTGACATCTCTAGGCTGAATGATACCCTCTAACACTTGTTAAATTATCATACAATCTTGACTTTATATAAAATGGACGCTATAGAAGTTCACATATATCACAATTCACATACAGGGGCATCAAAAGCAAACTAGATTTTGTGTAGCTATCTCATATTATACACTTATACCTTCATGATAAAAAGGTTGTGAACAAATGTATAGGTCGATGCAACTATTTATCAGTTCAGAATATTATCATACAACATTGTTAGAAATTAATAAAAAATGAGGGGGAAACTGGTTAGTTGTAATCAACAGTAATTAGCCTAAAATTTTCTCTCAAAATATTAATCAAACACTCTAATACATCATAATCTCTCATACAAAAAACCAAAACATAGAGCATAACACATGCTCACAAATCAGTCGATTTTTCTTAGAGAGAAATTTAAATCAATTGGTTTTTCTTCGAGAGCGATTTAAATCAATTGGTTTTTCTGAGAGAGAGAGAGAGAGATTTAAATAAGTTGGTTTTTCTCAAAGAGAGAGACAAGAAATCAAGCAGCCATAGTACCAAATGAATGAGATAATATCCATGGAGATAGAAATTATGGTTTAGGAAAACTTACCACTTCACCAAAGTAGATTTTGCAGACTTTTGAAATGACAAAGATTGTGCTTATTTTTGCTTGATGGTCGGTCACTGATTTCACATTCAGAGTGTGTAGCAGCAAGGTTTTGTCTAAAATGAAAATTTGTAAGAGTGTTCTTGCCACTCACAATGAATAGTGATGGTTGTACCACTACCTGTGTTGAGATGAATCGTAAGCCCTCATTTTGTATAAATCCCCATTTATTTCTCAAAAAATCAACAATTTATATTCGTTTCAATCTTAGAGGTAAAGTGCCCAATATCATATAAAACTTATTTCTATAGAGGGAGAGTACCTTGATGGGCAAAAAAGGTGAGACATCCTTTACAAACCTTCCTCTGCAAATGTTTTGATGTTGTAATAACTTTTCTTGCCACCCACAATGAATAGTGATGATTGTACCACTACCTGTGTTGAGATGAATGGTAAGCCCTCATTTTGTATAAATCCCCATTTATTTCTCAAAAAATCTACAATCTATATTGGTTCTTGTTGGTAAAGTCCCCAATATCATACATTCTTTACAAACCTTTCTCTATAAATGTTTTGACGTTGTAATAATTTTCTTTTTCTAATCTTTACCAATCAAAAAGCTCAGAGAGAGTTAATTTTGTATTGAGATAACTAGAGCAGGGTCCTCCTGCCAAAGATACAAGTTCTAAGAAACAATGAAGATATGGTACAAGTTATAAGAAACAATGAAGGAATGGTAGGCCTCAATAAAACAGAATAGGGAATAGAGGTTAGGACTTGGATTAAAGATAGAGAGGAGGACCGCTCCCGCAAAGTATTGTGATAAATCTTTTGAATAGGACTTGGGTTAGAGATAGAGAGGCTTTTGAAAACCTTTTGAGCTATGATACCTGCTTAAGAGTGTAAGAGAAGCTTTTGTAAGTGCTACTCGAATCGGGAAAGTTGGACAGGAACTCACGACGAAGGAAGCGAAAAAAATGAGTCAAAAATCAAATTTTTTCCAGTTATGGTTACAGGTAACGTCATAATTTGGTTTGATAGGGAATAAAATATAATGGGGATTTCCAAACCGTTCTTAGTTGCTATCTCAAATTTTTTTTTTTTTAATGAAATTAAAAAATATTTCAATTTTAGGTAAATCCAAACTGACCCTAAACCTTCAAAAATTGAGTAGCTTAAAACTATGAAAATCTTGAAAATTGACAGTCTAAAAATACGTTACAAAATACACTATTTTCAAAACTTAAAATCTATTTTTTTCTTATATCCATGCATCTTTATTTCGAGGTGATCAATTTGAGAGAATCAAAACCTCTTCTAGTGAAATTTTGAGGTAGGCACTAAATTAATTGTTTAGAGCCTCGCTCTATATAAACTTTTTCCATACTTCAATTGTAAGAGGACAGAGTAACCAAACGGGTATGCACGCATCTAAACCGAACGTTAATTTTTCACACTATAAATAAACACATGCCCACTATTCCAGTGAGAGAATCAGAGAGGAAATAGACCTCATGTGTGCCTGTGCTTGTACATTCACACAAACACAGCGCGAGATTAGATTGCATGAGTATCTGTGCTTGTACAATGAGAGATTTCCGATGCTTAAATTATTAAAAATAAAAGTTTCCTTGCATGCTGGAGGGGCGGCCAGTTGCCCATCCTGGTGCAAGTTCTCTGACAAAGACTAATCTTCTACAAATTTCTCACATGAAAACTAATAAGCCCCTCCCCAATTCTCTATACAAAGAGAAAGTGCATCCAATGAATTTCGCAGCAACCCCAACCCCATGCTTCCATTTCTTCACTTGCAGCCGTACTTCAGCTTCCAACACAAACATACAAATTCAGCATCATCCTCTTTCTTTTCTTGATAAACAGTTCAGCATCATCTTCTCATAACAATTTCCCCGTGCTCGTTTTTTTTCAGAAGTGAACAATTTCCCCATTTTTTTCTTTCATCGCAACCTCTGATACCTTGACCGCAAGAATATTATCTTTGTTACATATGTACGGCCAATGGCCACAAAACATGAGCTTCCAGATTCAAATATATGCACAGAAAGAGAGAGATCGATCCCAAACTGCAGAGAGCAAGAGAAAGATACCAATTGGCATTGCATTGGGGCGTCAGTCTTTCTTACTCCTCCCCCTTGCCATATCTTTACTCTGGGGACCAACATGGACCACCACTTTCTTTAGCTTTTGTGGTGGGTTGTTAAAGTTCTGGTTCCCACTTGAAGTGGATGGAAGCAACGCCAACAAGTTCCCAAATTCCATATTCAAAGATTTTGCATTTGCCTCGAGCTTTAGGGGGTACTTGGGAACTGGCCATTTTATCGGTCCTCGGAGATGAAGGTCACTAACCAATGTCATGGTCCTTTTGTTATTGGATTCTTCATTTGGGTACAAAGATGCCTTGCCTGTTTTCTTGTTTGGATGGGTAGCAGGCTTCACTTTCAAAGGTTTGGCTTTGGCAGTGCAAGCTTCATCTTTCACTGTAGAGGGTCTGCTCTTTGGAGCTTTCATGGCCTTAGGCTGCTGTTTAGAGGGTAATCTCCTGCTTCCATGGCTTTGAATCTGCTTCCCCGATGAGCACTTCGAGCAACTTGCAATCTCATACAAAGTTTCTGCTGCAGCCACTAGCCTGGGAGAATGACCCACTGTCGAGTAAAAGACTGCAGTTAGGCTTTTGTTATCCTTTTCATTGTATGATGAAAGAGTAACATGTTCTGGTGTTGAATAACAGAGACACCCTGAATGAAAAGGTGAAAATATCGTATTCTACAGAACAGAAGAAACATGCATTTTTGTTGGGTAAAACAAATTCCAATCCGTATTTCAGCTTGAGGGAACTTTTGCTTTTGTTTACAAAACAGGTTTGGTAAATCAGATGACAAAGAAATGTTTGAGAAAATGCCTCACCAGAACCTTCACTGACTTGATTTATGGCTAGCACGCAATCGACAAACAAAAATAATACTTGGTTGAAATTGATTGCTCTTCAAAATGGTATTCCTAGTGAACGGTGAATTATTTAATGAGGATAAGAATAAGAAATATAATTCCAAGGACACTCAACTGTGGAAATTGCACACTTCAACTGCAGGGAATTGGAATATTCTTGAGAACCTAAAGTCAGATTTTGCATGGAAACAGGTTGTGGTAGTCTAACTTTTTAGTTTGCATGGTCACCCAGTTTTGCAATAACAAAGTAAACAAAAAGTCAAAATCTTGGAAGTTCGGCATCATTAGCGTGATGCATGTCAAACGATACAACAACGACTTTTTCTAATTAACAACATGCAGGACATGACTTGCAACAACAATCACTGTCAATGCAGGACAAAATAAAAGTGCACACATTTATACGCTACTCCTTTACTGTATGGGTAGCTTTAAATGGAATGTTTTTTTTTTCCCTCTACAAAGCCAGCTTGAAAATGTAGATAAGCACACTCTCAATCCACAGAAAACGAAAGGAGATCAAAACATCTTCTGTAATACAGATAAACCTGAAAATATTTTCAGTAAATTATAAGGGTGGTCATCTTGGTTTTGTTACTAGAGACGAACTCCATCCTTGATCAACAGCTTACAAACTGGGGTTCTTCGACTAGGCCAACGGTGTTAAGCGACCTTATATCTAATACACTCCAAGAGAGACCAAAACGACTGAAGCCAGTGAAGAGATGGGCCTTGACAAGATACCTGGGCAGCTTCCCTATGGCAATCTTCCAGCATTTTCAGGACACTCTCGGCCTGGATGCCATGAAATGACTCTAAAACTTCCACACCAAGGGCATCAACCGCAAAAGCAAATATGCCACATTCATTGCCCTAATACCTTAGTAAGGAGTCAAAGACAGATTCGCTTGATAAATAGCTCTTACAATTTCTTGCAATAGGCCAACACTCTCCCACCTACAATACACAGATGACACTCTCATCATCTGCCGTGCACACCAACAACAAATTGACAACATTTCGCTCTTCATAGGGTGCTTCGAATCAACGACAGGTCTTTGGTAAACATGGGGAAAACAAAACAGAGGGGGGGCTCGCTCTCAACAACATCCAATGTATTGACATGGGCTACATCACCAACTCCCTTCTAAACAAACATTTGGGACTCCTGCTCTGCATAGGAAGACCCAAAAGAGCCCAATGAGACAGTATTGCAAAAAAGTTCAAAAGTAGATTGTCATCATGGAAATGCCAATTTCCATGCGACCTTGATCAACATATTAGAAGTTGGAATATTTCATGCATGATTTCCTTTGGAGAGACGCAGAACTCACAAATCCCCCTTAGTTAATTGGAATAATGTCTGCAAACCGAATAGCCGGGTAGGTTGGGGATTAGTGTTGGGATTCATGGCCATTTAAAGACCACAAGCTCTGGTTCGCACATTGTACCTTGGAAAATTCTTATACATGAAACTCATGTTTTATTCAAAAGTCCTGGTTTCAGTGGGAGCTGTGGGCTCCATGTGCTTTAGAGTAGTTAATGACATGTCATAAGAGTGGGCTCAATCAGCAGCTCTATGAGATCCAGAGCAAGTTGGTAGAATGTGTTAATGCACTTTAGGACTCCAGCCCTAGTTTTGATGTCTAGGGCTGAGGATTGTGGAGTCAGATCCGCACCACAGGATTGTTTTGGACTTAATCGAAGGATGCATCTGGCAGAGTATGTTCATGGGTACCATGTCGAGGCCAATTAGAGGTAGTTAGAGATTACAAGCCAGTAATATATAGGCCATTGTACTAAGAATGGGACTTTTAAGGACAAAGGCCTTCACTACGACAATCCATTCTTCATGACGTATATGCATGACTTCTGCAGTAATCCCAATGGTGTTTATGTGCTGGAGAGATTCCCCTCTCTGCTAATAATGGTACCTGAGATAAGTAGGTAAAAATAATCGCTGGAATTGATCAGCTGGATATGACTTGTCCTTGAAGGGCACACATGCAACCTAGGTGAACTTGTCATCTTATGTACTTCTTGGCTAGCTTTGATGGACCAATCATAAGCCTCGTGCAAGAAAGTACTTCTAAGCCATGGGCCCATTGGGTTAGTTTAAGGTCAGGTATTGATTGTGAGTGTTGTCTAGGAATGCCTAGTGGAAACGGAATTTTTCTTCCCAAGGTATGCTCAATCTTCCAATGAGATTTTCATAGTTTTTCTTTCGGGGATTAGATAGAACGAAAAGAAAATTATTTTTAATCAAATCAAGTTTGTTTCATAGTTTGGAAATTATGAAAATACTTTTTTGGAAACCACTAATTTTTTCCAAAGAAAGGACGTTTCTAGAATTAAAATCTTCTCTTTTTTTTTTGCAAGAAACCATAACTGAAATTTACGACGGCATGATTATTTTTGTCACAAGTTCCTTCTAAGAACACATGTTGAGGGCCAAAAATGGGGCCACATGGAGGCAAGGGGGACCCACTTCAATGAGTGCAGTATTGAACCCATATGTGGGGCCCATGGTGGCATGTCCCGCCCTTTTTGGACCTCCTTTATGTTTTGATTTTTGAAAGTTCTAGAAGGTTTGAGGTGGTTAATTAAATCTTCTCAGATCCTTGGAATCCTATGAGAATTAGATTTGTTTTCTAGAAAAAAAGGACTCGATTGGTTAGGACAAGTTCTAATTGGACTGGGGTTCCTAAGTTATATGGATTTCTAGGAAGGTGAAATCCTAATTATATTGCAAGACTGTTGGGAAGGTTCCTATTAGGGATAAGGTGTGATTCCAGCATTTAGATCATCATGGCTGATCTGGGGTCGATGGTTAAGGACTTAATCTCACCCCTTAGGTTTCCCACTAGTAGTAGAAGACAAAGAACTCTAATGTCATACGTACCCTTAACCATGCCTATAAATTGAATACCCTCTACCCTTGTTTTTTTCATCATTTTTTCCATCTGGAAGCCTAAAAAGAGAGTTGTTTGGAGGAATTGAGGGCCAGAGAGAAACCATAGGAAATAAAAGAAACAAAGGGGGAAAAGAGAGGGGGGGGGGCGGGGGGTAGAGTGGTTAGTGATTGAGATAGAAATTTACGGTGCTGATTTTAAGGGAGATGTGAATGTGTACTTTTGCAATTTTTCCTCAAAAACATCGAAGAAGGGATCTTTGTCTTCAAACTAGGTGAGCTATTGGTATTGGAAAATAATAAGGGGTGCCAAAAGTCCTAGGGATTGACCTTCGGCAACGTAACCAGTTGGTTGCCTCGGTCTGCAGATTTCAGCGGTCTTCCAGCCCTGGTTCTCCACGTGGCAGCAACATTCTTTGGTATAAAGTATGCCTATTTTATTTGGTTTAGAGTCTACTTTATTCCTACAAATTTTCATGGAGACACCTCATGCATATTTTAGGAAATATGGCCTCCTTACTGCAGATGGTGTTTATGTTTTCTGCTGTATATTGCTAGAAAAATTTTCATTACCTTGTATGCCACTTCCTTAGCACTCAGACAGGAAACTGAGGGAATGCAACACAACCCTTCTAGGGAAATTGTGGTGGCGCTTTGCCATCCACCAGGATCATCTCTGACACTCCACAAGCAAGTATAAATATGCTACAGATGCCTCAGATTGGTTACCAAAAACGACATCTTCTGACAAGGCATCAGGAATCTGGAACGGCATTAGCCAGTTGCACCTACAATTTTCATAGCAAATATGGTTTGTGGCTGAAACAGGTGAGTACATCAAATTTTAGAGGGACTGGTGGATCACCCAACAAACTCCTGATTGATCCTTTCCAAGCTTGTTTATTAAAGCTTCAGACAAAGAAGCGACCATGGCAAGTTCCATTGACTTCTTGTGCGGGCGCACATCTGTTTTCTTGCAAGAAGCAACGGCTATGGGCCCCACAATAGCAAATCGTGGACGAATTGGTACAGGCAGCCTACTTTATATGAAACCTCAAGGACACTGAGACTTCAGATCTCATGCCCTTGATCAAGTTACACAAACCCCAGCTCATCCCTCAGAGAGGCCAAGACAAGATCACCGGGTTGCCTATTCTATGTCCTCTTTCTGTGATATCCTTGATTTCTCAAGCATAAACCCAGTCAAAAATTATGTTTTCTTTGTCTTCTTCTTTAATGTCCCCACTTCCTCAAGCCTAGTAAACCCAGCCACAGCTAGAAGGGCATGATCCACACATGCTCCTCCCAAAGTGCAGGTTTCTAATAGGCCAGGATATCAAAAAGGCCCCGACTATGGACCACATCCAAAGGAGAAGCATCCCATTGATCAATAGGTGCACCATGGGTAAGGAGGAGACCATCGCCCATTAATTTCATCAATGCAAATTGGCCTCAAAACTCTGTTCTAAATAGTTCGTTTAAGTGGCCATAGGCCACCCCTGAATCCATCGGAAGTTTTCTTATTCTTATTTCTCAATGCCCCAGCTAACTTCGGGTCTTCCCTGGAACATGTCCACTCTGGCAATAGTATGGTCTATAAGTTAGAGGGGAAACAACTAATCTTCAAGAATTCTGTGAGCCAAACTTCCACCCTTATAGATTGCAACAGATCAATGATCACCTTTATTGATGTCTTCCCAAGAGATTCTTTTGTTTACTACAATCCATTAAACGATAACATTAGCCTGAATAACCAAATTGACACTCAAAAGGATGGCACTCCAT